ACGTAATAACTTACGTATAGACATACATATACGAAGTATACGAGAGAGAGGAGAGAGAGAGAGAGACGCCGTGATGTCGGACGTGGGATCTTAATTGGACCATAACTCATCCCGCGCGGTGTCTTCCTCTCGCGGCAGGTAAACGCCACGTCACTCTTTCTTTTCCGCGCGCCTGTATTTCTTGGGCTCTTCCAGCGTTCGCGCATGTTGATGCGTGCCCGCCGATGATCTTGCGATACTCTTGGCGTGACGCGCGGTTCGACCGAAGATTGCCTCGTGAAACGCAAGAGCGATAAATTGGGAGGAGGCGAAAGGAAACTTCTTGGAAGTCATATGGAAATCTCGCTGAACACACGGACACGCGATATTTTTCGCGTTCACAAAGGTCCACAAAAAGGAGTACAACTATATATGTGGTACGATGTACGAATATTATATATTCTAAACGAGAAATTTTTACCGTGGCTTTCCTGAGAAAAATCAAGTATTCTTCGCGAAGAAGTCATCGTGATTCCATCGGAATCATCGGCGAGGATATCCGTCGCGGAATGATCGATGAGCGTTCCTTCGTTGGGCGTCCGGAACGCCTCTCTTCGAAATTCCGTTTCCCGAGAAGCGAGTTTAACGGTGGCGAAACGGACAACGACGTTTCGCTCGACCCATTCGGGACCCAAACTCCGTGAGGCGAGTCGACGGGTGCGAACGTGGCTGGAATCGTGTTCGCGGACGTTTCCTGTTCGGCCTTTCCGGCGCGCGCTTAACGGTCGTACAAAAAGCACGCGCGTCTGCTTTGTCTCGTCCCCCCCCCTGCCGTCTTGTTCCAACCATCCGTTCGTTTTCGTGACCAGGCGCCGATCGTCGAGGTTGCAGCTTCCGTCGTTGGCGTCTCGATGGAGAGAGGAAGAGAGAGAGAGATGAATAGAGCAAGAGAGAGTGAGAGAGGGGGAAGTGGAAGGGGGCGGGGAGGGAGAAATTCCCGGTAACTTTCCCTCCTACGCGCAAACGGCCGCGAGGGGAGAAGCGATGGAACGGGTCGCTCTAGCGATGGGATCAACCGTGATTTTTCACAGTCACGAGCTAATCACGGGCAACGTTCTCCCGCGACGGTTACGTCGGTTATCTCGAGCTGGAACCTCGCACGAGAATGCGTCGCTTCGCCTCTTTCGACTGTGACAAATAGCACACGCTCGGACTCGAGGCCGCATACTTTCCGCGAAACTCACAATTAGAGTACAGATACCGAGCGCGCATCGCGACAGATTTACACGAGGTTGTCGTGGTCACAAATGTCTCGCTCGAGGCTTTTCAGTGCGAAAGCTTTAACAACACGCAAGTGTCGAGAGAGATTATTCACGTTCACGCCTCGAAGAGGCGTAAATGAAACAATCTTAACTAGGCTACTATTTTTCTATTTGTATCCCAAATCTCTTTTGGGTGTTCATTGTAATCGGTCGAAAGGTAAACACAACCGTAGATAAATTCATCTTGGATATCCTACTTCCCATCCGCAATCTCGCTCTATCTGAAAATAAGGTTGTAAATCAAACCAGGCGATCTTTTACAATGATCCTTTGCAATTGACTCTAATCACGATCTCCGAACAGCGTTCGTATCTCAAGGCGCTAACGCATAAATATAAATTCCATGCCATAAATTCCTTTTCGGCCCGCGGTCTCGCGCTGAGCTCTGCCTTAAAAAAAAAAATAAAGAATTTTACTACGCATTCTCCTCCGCCCTTGCAAAGTCCATCGAAGGATCCATCGAAGGTGGCTCGATGGCGCAGCGCATAGACGGGAATAGGATCGGATCCATCGCTATACGCGGGCCTCGGCCCTGGAGCCTTTCTAATCCGTTGGTTTTCAGCGCGAGTTGATGTTTTCGCGCCAGCTAGTAGATGCGGTAACGGACGTGCTGCCTAGCGGAAGGGGCAAGGACGGCCGAGGCCGACCGCGAGGCCTGACTTGCACGGGAGGAAGTCAGAGCTCGGTGGAAGAGAGAGAGAGAGGAGGGGAGGAGGGGGAGAAGGGAAAGAACGAGTGACGAGAAGAACGCCGGATCGGGGTGGACTAAACAGCAACGACCGACCGCGCGCGCCCACGTGCGTGTGAGTCGCCGCGCGTGGTACGAAGGCTGGAACGCGCCAAGACGTGTGTGCGTGCGTGCGCGCGACGGTTGCACGATGGTTGCACCGACACCGGATCCCGGGGAATCGTGCGAGAGTTAGGAGCAACGTGGGATTTCGCGAAGCGTTCGCATCGCGATGGAATTCCGTTCCCTCGGCGCGAGGGAACGTTCTCCCTCCCCGTTCCTTCGACGCGGATGCGTCGCGTGCCGAGCCCCGTTTCGTGAGCTCTCGTGGAAGTGACGCGTGAATAAAAATTCACTATTTAAATCTTCTTCTTTTCTCCTGAATTGAATATCGCACGCGACTTGCTCTTTCGAAATATCATATATCGCCGCAGAGATACGACGCGCGGCGCGTATCCAGACGTTTCGAATCCATCCGGAGAGCGGCGACGGCGACCCCTCGGGCGGCTTCAAGGCTCCGGCGGATTTGAAATGGAATTTAAATGGCTCGGTACGATAAAACTTGCACTTACCCGCTCCTTTTTACATCGGGTCCTGCAGGTCCCGAGTAAACGAGTAATAAACGGCGGCTACGTTTATCGCGCGGAATGCGTGTGTACGCAGGTGCATCGTCGTCGATGCGCGCACAAACACGTTTGAGGAATGCATAATTTATCCAATTTAAATTATACCATGGCATTCTCCCGGTAATCATTTTTATTTCGGGACGTCGACACAAGATTTATTCGTATTGAGTCACACTCGATCTTATTATATATTTAATCGTGTCCAATTATAGTCGTATAGAATACATAAGTAAGAGACTTTTTAAAGAGTATGTTGCCTAAAAAAGTCTGACGAAAAATCTGAAAGTAAACCGTTGCTACAATATGCATTTTATCCGCTCTCTTTGTGCGTTTCCCTTGTGTTTTGCCTCGACTTATCCGATCTCGTATCTCTCTCATGCCTACTTTGTAGAATTAACGTCGTATCCGGGGACAGGTGGTTTCATTGATGCAGATGCGATCATTCCGCACGTAACCATCTTTACAGATGCAACCCCGAATGCAGACCTTCGTTTTAACACAGGCCATCGTCTCCCAATGATCCATATTCTCGCACGTCTTCTGACAGGTCGGATCTCCGAAACACTCGCTGTATTCTTCGTGTTCCTCGCATTCCGCTGAGAGAGACGCGCTATTATCCCGATAAATTTGATATTCCACGTCTGAAAAGTCACAAAATCAAAAAAAAGAGAAGGGAAAGGAAAGAAGACCGTATTATACATCATGTTATTTTGAAATTTTCCGAAAGGAAAATTTGCGAACGCGAATTGTCCTCGAGCGAAATATAAACTTACTTTTTTCAATTTTCAGAGATGCGTCGTCTAAATCGTCGAGAGAATAAACACCGGCGAGAATGGCGAAAGTAAAAGATATAATGTACAGTTTCATCGTGCACTCGTAGCGACTTCAAGAAATGCGAAAAACGATGCGGCGCGTCGCCGGGGACTTTAAGTACTCGTAGCATATCAAATTAGCGCAGGCGATATCAGTGTCAGTAACCAGTTTTCTCGTATGCAGATTCTGGATATCGGTGTGCTATAAATTATGATTAAAAAGGGCCGCTAGATATATACCGACACGCACAGGGGAAAGGTAGGTGATAATACACGTTCATTTCCTACAGCGAAAAATCGTAACGCGAATTTTGCAAGTTTGTATTATATATTTATGAGACTTTCAATTGTACAGCCAACTCATTTACAATACAACATACATAAGTATTTTATATAATAGAATCGCCCGTATTACAGTTCAAAGTAAACAATAATGAGCTCAATAATCCGGATGTCAACATTTTCTGGTAAAGCCTATCGAGGATTGCGTTACTGATTTTGTCTCTAATTACAACAAAGATTATTTCATTATGAGAATCAAATAAAAATGATAAAATGAAAATTTTGCTGCTAAATATCAAATAAATATACGAAAATGATGGCCTCTATTAGATTTTACGGAAAATTTTCTAAATAATCTAGCGGGAATAGATGGTATTCCTCTTTCGGGAGATTTTTTTTACTTTAACTTTCTCCGAAATGTTTCCAACATAAATGTGTAACACCATCGAGGGGAGGAAAAAAATAGATTTTGACAATGACAATAAAAAGCCACTCGCGCTGATTACATGTATAGCCTCTTAATTGAATACATGTTAATGAACTGACAACAAACGATTAATTAGATATTATACAAGGTAAATATATCAATAACTATTATCGACTAACTATTTACGACTTATATAATTTTTTTTTTTATTTTAAAATTCCAATCTTGGGAATTATTTTGCGAAGCATCGATTTACCAGTATATTCGTCCGTAAACTAAGTCATAATTATACGTATGATCGTTAATTAATTACGTACATCAGTTAATCCGACCCTTACGTTTATTATACTAAGTTTAAATCATTGAAAACAAAAAATTAGTTATATTTGAAAATGGAATTTTTTTGACATTATTTTCATTAGAAATACAATTGTAGTCTGTGATATAATAGAAGGGATCGCGCCACTAAAACTACGAGAGTGTCTCGGTATATCTCACGGCAATCGGTCGACTATCTGTTGAGTTGAGTTCGAGGGGCGATGTAAGGAAAGCAACTATATCACAGAGAATCAGAGAAGCAGCGACCGGTGATGATAATCATAACTACCAAATCTTAGCTGCAATGGCTCTCTGCATTAAAACGTTCTTGCTTCGCTGTTTCATGCGCTCAATGAAGTACTCCTTGCCTTCCAGGTTATCGTCAACTGGTTCGACCCCTTCATTCTGGCAACAAACGAGAGTTAGTTGGCTCGTGGGTAACGTTTTCTCACGCGTGTGGCTGATCATCATCATTATCGTCATTTTCTTCACTTGTTATTCCTTTTATATCATCAATCAGATTACCATGATCGTCATCGTAAAGATGAGCTGATTGTTTCGTAGGCCGAAAACCTACGCGAAGTCTAACCAACCTTGGTGCTGGCTGCATCGCCCCCCTCTCCCTCTCCCCATCTTTCATAGTCATCGTCGTCTCTCTCTTCTCCTTCGCTCAAGGGTCCAGCTTGTCTCTTGTTAGGTGGTACGGTTGAGCCGCCACTGCCACCTTGTTGATGCTCCACGTCATCACCTCCCTCCAGCATCTTGTTGATCTTCTCCTTCGCTTCGTCGACCTTCCTCATCGGATCAGGTGAATAGCTGCGATCGCTGTATCGATCGCGCGATGAAGCACGGCGATCCCTGAAGTCCCGTCTATCACGGAAATCGCGGAAGTTTTGTTTGTTGTGAAAGAATCTACCACCACGATTGCCACGACCACCACGACCACCGCGATTGTTGAAATTACCGCCACGACGATTACCAAAACGATTATTATGCTGATTATTATAGAAGCGGTTTCGATTTTGGAAATTGTTACCGCCACCGCGATGATTCGGATTGTTGAAGCCTTGGAAACGTGGTTTGTAATATGTGCCACGGTTATTATACGGTCGGAATTGCCTTTTGCGATAATAACCTCGATCGCCTGATCTGCTACGGCTACGACTTCTTGTATATGATCTGGATCTTGATCGGGATCGTGATCTGCTGTAGGTACCCGAAGGAGATCTACTATATTTTCTTTCGTAACTACCAGATCGTCGATTCGAATACGAACGTGAGCGGCTCCGTCTCGCAGATCGTGATCGAGAAGAGCCTGAACTGGAGGCACTGCGAGATCGACTGCGCGAACGTTTCGCTGGACGATCTCTGCTCATACGCTTATTCATACCGCCCCTGCCGCTCGAGTCACGTTTCTTCGGTGTCTGTCGATGACCTCGTTCGGTTTCGCTATCGGAATCGGTTCTTGGGCCTTTGGCTTGACTCTGGTTCTTTGCCGTTGGCGGAGGACGCGGTGGTTCCGGCGGATGTCCAGTTCCGCTGTTCTGACCAATCGGTTGAAACTTGCCGCCCAAATTATTGCTAGAGCCAAATTTGGTTGGCGTGTTCTGTGACACAGACATAGCAGGATCCTTGTACGATTGGAATTTATTCTGTGGTTGCGGCGTAGGATACTTGACAGGCGCTTGCTTCGGCATCGGAGGCTCTTTGGGCAGTGGTGGTGGTGGTGTCGGTGCAGGTTGCGGTGGCACTGCTCGTTTTTCAGCAAGTTCACGTTGCATTTGCTTCCGTATATTCAGGGATTTTTCAAGAGCCGCGCGTTGCAATCTTTCTTCTAATTCATTATCATCATCTTCATCACTGTCCACAAAGACGTTAGATTGTGCCTTTTTACTCTCCGGTGGAATATCTTGCCATTTTTGCGAAGGCACATCTTTTTGTCTGAAATTACGCGTGAATATAAACTCACAGTTAAATAAAGTATAAAACATTATCTTACATTTTATAAATTATGTTTATTTTAACAAGATCTTTTATATACATAATTACTCACCTAGCAGCTTGTGCAGCCTTCCACTTTGCATTTAATGCAGCAGTGTCCAATGTAGGAAGCTTCGGTTCTGGATGAATTAATTGGGATTCTTGTTCAAATATGTCTGTTAGTGGCTTCCTCTGTATCTCTGTAATATATAATTATAATAAAATATTATTATATTATCAAAATTGGCTTTAATATATGTTAATATATTTACACATACCTTTTCGCTGTTGCGCAGTCATCGGCATCCTGGATTCCCGCTCATGATATGCCTTCGAAGCCTCGTCTCTCTCCCTTTCCCTCTCTCTGCGCAGCTCTTCCTCTCTGCGGGAACTTTCAGCGAGCTTCTCCGCGTTGCTAAGAGGGGAAGGTATGTCATTATACTGTGCTACATACCTAGTAAATATAAAAACATAAGTAAAATACGATATACAACGGCCGCGTGATTTCCGTTCATTTGCGTTAGCTGAGGATATAAGAACAACGAATAAATAAAAATAGACAGTATAATATATAATGCGAGTTAAACTAAACCACTCAATTGGAAAGCCAAAAAAAAAATAAAAAAAAAAAACTTTAAACATTAAACTCTTCATATAGAAAAAATTCTAACAATGGTTCCAACCTTTTAAGTGCCGCACAATCTTTTTCAACTTTTGCATAATAAGCATTAAGCTTGGACTCTAATTGTTCTAAGTCCGGCAAAGACGATTTTTTCAACGCTTCTAAATCTCGTTCAAGTTTGTCCTTATTTTTACGCTTTTTCCGTTCTTCTTTCTTCTTCTTCTTTCGACTCTTCTTGTCCTCCTTTTCTTTATCTTTTCCCTTCTTCTCTTTCTTCTTTTTTTCTTCATCTTTTCGCTCTCGGAATGTTTCTTTTCCTTTTCTCTTTCTCTCTTCCATCTTGCTGTCTCTTCTAAGAACTTCCTTACCTATTCGTATATACAAAACTAGTTTAATGTTACTTCAATTTTATATTGTATACTTTGAAATATGTTAACTAAATTGTAAAATTATACTTGCCTTATCTTCGTAATCAGAATCGTCCTTGGTTTGCTCAAGAAACTTGCGGACTTTGATTTCGTAATCATCCATTTTCTCATTCCTATTTGTAGTGTATGAAGCTGGTGGGATAGTATCGTGTGTGGTAGCAGCTGCAGCAGGAGGATTATTGTATTGAGCCATCCGCTTACTAAGTGGAGAAAGTGAACTGCGATGATCTTTCTTATGTTTGCGTTTACGACTTGGCGAACGAGAGGCCGATCGTGAACTTCCGGATGACGATGAGCTACTCGAATCTGAGCTCGAAGAGCTCGAAGATCCACTGGACGAAGAGCTCGAACTGGAGCTCCATCTCTGTCTTTTCTTTGATCTAGATTTTCTTTCCTTTTTGCGTTTCTTTTTATCTTTTTTATTTTCTGCAGCATCATTCTCAGCTTCGAAGCTCTTAAATGTATCCAAAGGATTCAGCGATGCAGTGAGAGTCTTAGATTTTATATACTCAATTGAATTTCGCGCTTCCTCATGATATGGCGCAATCGCCAAACAATTTCGTATGCTTTTTGAGCATCTTCGTATTTCTTCTCATCCTCGTAACTGCGTCCAAGCGCAACTAACGTTTCCGCCATATACTTACGAGCATTTGCATGCGTTTGATTTAATTTCAAGGCTGTCTCGAAGTCGTCAATCGCCTTCTTGAAGCTTCCGCTATTTGCATATCTATAAAACAAACATAGCATGTTATAAACATGTGTTACATATTAACATACATTACATATTAAATGTGATCATGTTTTTAAAAGAGAACTTACAATGCTCCTCGAGCAACTAAACCTTCAACGTTGCGAGGATCAACAGTGAGCGCTTTGTTGAGGCATTGGAAGGCTTCGGAATGACGACCGGCTTTGAAATGATCTATACCCTCAGCGACACTTCGGAATGCCCACTTGCTCGCTTGTGCTTGCCGTAATTCAGAAGCGTATTCATTTGGCGGAAATCTCTCTCTGCATCAACAAACAAAAATAATCAGACCAATCCATAAGATATGGATATATAAATCCATATATATATATATATATATATATATATATATATATATATATATATACACACACATCCGTACATACACACGAATAAATTTTATAGCGACATTTCTTACCTCAATCCAACCATATTGGAATGATTCTCTTGTCCCAGACCGATTAAGTCGCACAGATATTTTATGTTGTTTGGATTGTTGAAACCAGTACTATTCTCCAACAGCGTTTCATAACTCTGGCCTTTGTTGTCCATCGCTTTCCTATATCACAGAGAAAAATATTTGATTATCAAACATTGCAAAAATCATTGTGACCTTTTCCAAAGAAGAGGAAACCAAAGCTACTTCGTTAACGGTAAAACCAAAGACTTGATAATCATAACAGCCGAGTCCTTATTAATCCTGTTGATGAACATCGCCTGTCTGGCAAATGTGTGTGCGCCTTCGTTCTTCGACATCATGTCGTACTCCACATTTTTCTGCTTTATAAGCATATACATATTTATGTGTGCATTATTTGTGTAGTTGTCCCATATATATAAAATTTAATTAATTAAATTATTCCTGTACAATGACTCTTCACTTTAATCTGTATGTATTAATCAATGATACGATACTAATGCCAAAAGCGCTTTAAATATAAGTCTGAATCTCCTTCATAACATTATTGTTATGCAACTTCTGGTATTAGAGTCGTTCAAAATCTACGTTTGTACCGTTAAGAAGCAGCAGGGATCCGAAACAGGGATACGGTGCAGAAGGTAAGATTTCCTTTTTTTTTTTTATATTAGCAGATATAATCTCATAGTTATAAATTTATATTGGTACACAACCTCAATATTATGTAAACTCGTCTCTCACCTTTCACCGTTAAGACGTATATTTCTAGTATTTTGTATCACATTTGTAATCAGAGAATTTTTTTTTTCTCAACACAAAATCACACGGCCTATCATCAATCGATGGTGTGGTTTCGGTTTTTATAAATTTTTTTTTGGTGCGATAAAATAAATTGCATAACCCTATGATAGGTTGGGAGCCACGCCTGAGTATATATTATCTTCCAAGGCGGACCAAAAAATTTTTTTTTAGATGTGGAAGTTTCATCTGCATTTTGTGATGTCAATTATCAACATGACATCACTTTTTTTATTCAATATAAGCTGTAAGTTTAAACATTAAGGCATTATTATGATAAGGCGCGATTCTTTTGAGGATTAAAGATAAAAAGGTTTTTGGGCGATTAAGACTCGAGTTGTTTGGTCTCTACTTAAAGTCTCATCAACTTGTCTATAAATTATAAATCTATTCTATCTTACCTTTAACAAAGAAAGTACGATCGGACACGAAAATATGGATACCTTTTGCCATGATAAAATTATTTGCGCAGAAAGATTACATTAGTACACATTTTAAGAGAATACAATAATAGACACGTATATGTATATGTATATATATATATATATATATATATATATATATTGTATATATATATATAAATATATATTATATTATAAATATATATTATATTATAAAATATATATTTATACTTTACTTTTCTAAATTTCCTAGATATAAGAGACCAAACAACTGTAAATCAGTATTATACCTACCGTCTGTTGCATTCAATGATCACTCAAGGCTCAACATCTCATACTGGAAATTCAACCTCAAAAGTCATTTGCGCCATAGTTTGGCTCGTGCTTTGAGAGTAATATATCGCAAACGTAGATAGAATATGTGCGCAATAGAGCCATGTCAACCAATGCTCAAGGTTTGAATTCATTTGTATCACATTAGAAATTCATCATCATACTATCAACTTTTTACGTTACATAGAGTGTCTGGTACCTAAATTCATAAAAATGTGTAAGAGGAATCAAAACTAATTCACCTAATTTTGTTAGTATCAGTGCTTCTGTTAAAGATCGAATTCTTTTTTTCCCACTATGCCACGTCATTCTTACCTTCATATTACAAATAATGATAAAAAATAAAAACAAAAATTAAAAATAAAACGAAAAAAATGACAAATTACGAAAATTACATATTACAAAAACTACTATAGTATGGAACAATTAAACTAAATTAAAGAAGCTATTTTCTTTCTTCAATGTAAGTGCTCGTATACACAATGAACAAAAGTGTGACATCACAAAATGCTTTCATCGTTTATTATGTGAAGATCTCTCCTAAAGATGTATAAGGAATTAACTTACAAGAGTTAGTAAAGCACGATTCACATAGTGAATGACGGATTCAGTAGACTTGCAATTATATAGCTAGTCAAGTTTATCATGTTTACTTACTTATAGGCTTCTGGAAGATCATCGGAATGGATAAGTCCCATAGCTGGGTGTGGTGCTTGCCCTTCCCGGGCAGGTACGTTCATAACTGCAACAACTCGCTCGGCTTCAACGTTAACTTCACTGACTACGACGCAGACGAGATCATTTGCCATGTAGCCTCTTGTAACACCTTTCTTGTCCACCGCCGGCACAGTGGCCGTATTTAGTATCAATGCCTAACAAACACAATATGCAAAAACTCTTGTTGTCAAATACAGAAAAAAATTTGAAATATTTTGAAATTGATGTAAAATCGTTTAAAGGAGCGATACTTATAAGTGATATGTTTATATACCTTAACTCCCAATTCACCAACAACTCTAGGACAGTCACTGCAGTTACAAAGCACCTTTAGAAGTAGACCTGCGGCACTTTTACCCATTACTTGCGCGAAAATTACATCTCCAACTACTAAACTCTACAAATTTGATAAAAAGATGTCAAATTAGACAACTGTTAAGTTTTTTTACAAATATATTTAATTCATATCAATTATTCCAATACCTCCAAAAAGTTGCGAATGCGTTGCGACTTTTCCATGGTGACAAAAGTATCAAGTGCTGGTACTGTAGCATAAAACTCTGCAAATATATGAATTTATTGCATAATATTACATAATATTGCATAATATAACAATGTTTGAATGAGAAGCAAAAGATAAGATATTACCTTCATCTCCCAGTTCCTGTTTGATACATTCTGAAGACTTCTCCAAGTTTGCTTTATCATACAAGTCGTCAGCTTTTTTAGTAAGAAACTGCTGAAGCTTCAGACGTTTGCCTCTATCTCCAAAGCTATAAAAGATAAAAGATTTTTATGTAATAAATCACGTTCAATGATAACAAAATAGATTTCAGTTTATTTAGCTAATCATTACCTAAGAGTCTTTTGTCGCTGTTGATAAATCTCAAAGCTAGGATCCTTAAGATTGAGCATGACTAGCTCATTTTCGTTGCGTTCTCCTTCCCACACTTTCTGCAACTGCTGGCCATGGTAGTTCAATGCTTGCGCCACGAGACGCGCATCCATAGATTCCATTTCGTTCAGCAAAGAGACGAACCTAATCTGCAAGACTACGAAAATCGTCGCGTTCGGATTATTTGTGCTTTCAATCTGCGATTACGAGAGAGCGACCACGAGTATATCGTCCGTTACATCGAAATACAGACGGAGGCACGTCGTAGACGTAGCGGCACGTTGTTCTGTAGAGTCGTTCCTAACAATACCCTCGTGTATAAAACAAAGCCTTTTGAACATGCGATCATCCAGTCAAGGACACACGTGGTCGAGAACGAATCGTTATTCCGTGAGATCCAACAAAATTTGAAAAGTAACGTCGTATGCCTCCGTTTGCTATTGCGTGTCCGGCCGAATAAACGTCTGACGACATAAGCGTCGAAAATTGGACGATCGCAGATGTACTTGGCGCCTCACAACTTTGTTCTCCGAAGATAATATTATCGCCGAGGTTTCAGCGAGAACCCCCGCGACGTCGCGTCTCCTCGGCGTAGAATCGTCACCAGTTATTTTTTTTTTCCCCCTATTACGCTCGCGTAGGCGAAGTACGCGCGCTATATATCGATCTCCCTCCCCGATAACAAGATGGTCGTCGCGGTGGAAATCCGAGGACTGCGGGAACGGCATCGACGCCATGACGCTCCCTCTTTTCCACCGCCGAATTGCCACCTTCTTTCCCGGCGTACGTCTCTCGGCCGCCCGTGAAATTGCGGGAATATTACTTACCGTCCGTCCAACGTATTACGCGAAGAGATCCGATAACGTAAACTTGGGAAAGAATCACGCTGTCGCACGAAACATCGCCGAAGAACGATAAACGTGTGCGAACACACGCAGTGCGAGTCACGATTTGTGACGAGGCGGAAACCAACGGAAACGACCAGAAATGACGATAGTGGAAAGGGATAACCAGCCATTGCGCATGCGCGGAATTGTTTTATCGAACGTGTTAGCCTTGCGCGAACGTAACGTATAAGCGTGCCGCGCCCGCGTGACGAAGTAGTTCTTTCGGCGAATTTCGCATTTGCAACGCTCGTAATTTTGATATCAGGACGGTCCTTTCTAATTATTTCTATTTTTTAAATTAATTTCTTTCTCTCGTATGGAAAAACTCTAATCCTTCATCAATTACTATCTAATTATTCTGATGAAATATTGAAGTTGGAAAATTTTTAAGTCCTATCTTTTCTGATACTAGAAAAGTATATTAATTAAAAAAATATATAAACATGATTACGTGATACTTTTACTATTAAAAATGAAAATTTAAATGATGCTTCAAATATCAAATAAAAATTGGATCATAAGCTATGTAATTTTTGCCATAGATTATACGATTTGTTAAGGATAGAATAAATTATGAGATTCAATAATATAATAATTTAATATATAAATGATTCCCTTGATAACAATATGTACCAAGAATTAACAATTATAAACTGTATATAACAGAAGACATATGAATTAAACTTATTTTACATCTTGTAAAATAAGTACAAAAGGAACATTTTGCATCGTTTTATACCAGAGAAATTTAACAAGCATAAATTAACACATTCAACAATAATCCAGTTTTCTCTAATTGTGTATATTTAATAAGTGTTTTATATTGTCTTTTTCATATCCCTTGATAAAAACATAATTAGCATTATCATTCCTACCCCAGGTTACTAAATAATATTAACTTTTTCTTACAAATTACCTATGTATAATACTAGATATTGTTTTTACAAACATTTTCAGAAATTTATTTGTGGAAACTGATTTCACCTCTCCATCGTTGCATTAACTTTGCAAAATATCATTTATGCAAAATTTTATACATATTAGTTTAGATGATTTGTGTAAATTATCAATCATGCGCACAAGTATAAACATTCCTATCTCTTTCATTCTTAGCTCTTCTTCTTGATTCTTTTCTTTGCTTCTTTTTATCTATTATTCCAGTAATAAAGAAGCTGTGCCACTATTATGCCGTTCGCCAGAGTGGAACACATGTACATTGTTATCATAGTGGCATCACCCGTTTCTTGAATGGAAGTGAAAATTCTCGCAAGAGAACCAAAGAAGAGCATAAAGCACGTTGCCGCTGATAACTGGCCGGTACTTCCATTGACATAATTTGTATAGGCTTGTATAAACTGTAACCCCCACCAAAAATAATTAGAATATTTATAACATATGCAAATTAGAATAACAAGAAAGGATGAATTCTGAGAATTTAATTACATACCTTACTTATAAGAACAATAGGTATATTCATTGCTTGGCATGCCCAGAGGACATGAATAGGGGTTAGCCCACTATTAGCTGCAAAAATTACTGCCAGATAAGCAGAGAGAAACGCAGTTGCTTTTGCTGTTTCTCCATTGTAATGCATCACTAGGACTGCAATGATCAAAGTTTGAAACCCTAAAAATACTCCATCTCCCCAGGCACTGAAATTGATATATAAATAAAATTTTATTTAAAAAAAACAAAAAGTTTTCCATGCTAACTTATTAATAAATTGTTTATTCACCTAAATGGAAATCTACTAATGAAACTATAGGAAGACATCGCGGTGATAGCAAATAAATCCAATAATACGCTGAAGACATTGATTCCCTCGCCGCTTCTGTTTTTTAGAATTTTCACTATTTGTGGTATTTTCACTAAAAAAAAGAGGACAAGAATATATTTAGATAAGAAGGTATGGTAAGAATGCTATTATAGATAAGACATGACATATCATAAAAACATGATAATCCAGTACACTTATATTGAAAACTGCAATAACTCAAACAATATATAAAATTATATTACCCAATAAGATATTTTATCTTATGTATTTTCATAAAACAAAGTGGATATCTTTATATCTAGAAACAATATACTAACCAAGCAAGGAACCTCCAATGATGCCCAGTCCTAAACCTTTGCTCAACGTTGTCTTGAAGCATCCGACTGGAACATTTTCAAGATGATTGTGTTTTACCCAGATGCGATTGTACGTGTTTATAAATAAATTCATTTTTAATCTCAATTTTTCGCGGGTTACCGATGAATTTTAAGCTTGTCACATATACAAAAAAACAATCGAACATCATGCAAGTTTTAAATGCTTCTTCATATTGGAGAATATCACGTTTAGCGAATCGTAACGAAGTTTGCGGTAAATAAAATTATTACATTACTGTTATCAAATCGAACTCATTTACCGTGGAGAAAATTGAATTTGTCGAAGTACTCCTTTATGCATTCCTGAGTGAATAAAAATAACGCCGCTTTTCTGATATGTTGTGCCATACTGCCGCGATTTGCTCTGCGCTCATCGACTGTTACTATCTCACAATGCAGATGCGCATGGAATGTAACGGAGAGCTCAGACGAAGAATCGAAAAAAATCTAATGAACCTTCGGCGATTACTGACAACTTCCTAAACGCATGCCAACTCACGCCGCTGGCGTCTGCGACACAGTAGCGATATTCAACAACTACATGCCGCATTTTTGGATGCCTCGGATGGTAAAGTGAGAAACAAATCGGAAAAGCATCGAATGTTTGGCTGAACTTGAAATTGTTGTACTCGAAATGAAATAGACATATGTTTGAAGCTTGGTAAAAATATGAAAACTTTAGCGCAATCCAACGCAATGCAACGATAAAAAGTAGGTTTATCGTTAAAGCTATGATTCGATTACATAAAATTATAATTCGGAAATACGCTGGATTAATAAATCTGAAATTGACAAAAAATATCAAATGTTATTTTCAGTAGTATAACGACACGTTGTTCCAAACGTTGTTAAAAACATATTAAATTGATTTTATTATTGAAATTATATAATAAAACAAATTATATTGTTTTTGTATAGCATTTCAATAGATTTAATAAAAGTTGAATATTAATATTGATTAATTGAATTAATTTGATTAAAATTAAAATAATGTCAAAGTTGGCAAGCGAAATACAATGTCTCTCTCAATATGCTGTATTATTCAATGGGAAAATAACGGGAAATGACAAAATAATAGTTTTAGTAAACAAATATATAAAAATAAATTATTTTACCATAAAGAATTGTATAACCATTAATTTATTTATCTGTAAATAATACGCGAAAGATATGTAGTAAAGTCCTTGAAAATCACCGTCATTGCTGGAGAACGAAACATTTTTAAATGCTGCGCGTTAAAGGTCGCGCGGCCTTGACATTCTCTTGGTCCAAATAATACTTGTAAATAAAATGAGAAACAGATTTGCTGATAGCATCTCGGCGACATAAAGTTGTGGAATTACAAAGAAAACTACGTTGAAAAATAAGATTAAATAATCAAAGATCCATGTGATGATAGGAAGAACGCGAAATTTAATAAAGAACTGAGTTCTGAATTTCTCTTTCTTTTCCTATATACAAATCATCAAATTATTATTTTGCAACAATTGTTTTATATATGCATATGAACGTATATACTCATTTTCGATATATTATTCGCAATTCTCGCGATCGCAACTTCATCGGCAACTTCATCGTCCGCTGTTCTCCCAACGCTGCTCGACAGTGATATGCCAATCATGTGCCTCTTATTAATATTTCGCTAAATGAATCCCTCAAAATTTCCGAGTTCAAAGATCATCTCGCACGCGATCAACGCCGAATTCGGCCGGTTTCCGAAAATAGTCCGGTTATCAGACGGGGATCCGAAACCCATCCGCCCCCTTCCTCGCAATTAACGATACCAGGCCGAACGAGCGATTCATCAGGCTACCACCTGCCGCGACCGCGGAGATGCAGCCGTGTAAGTGGGTCAGAGTGCACGCAAAGGAGCGGAGGAGCGGAGTGCGGTCCGATTAACCACGTGATTGCTTTGACTTCCTCCTCGCCTATATTCCAAACGGGGGGAAAGGGGGGGGGGTTGCGCGGCGGGGATCATGCCGCGGGGATGTGCAAAGGTACCTGGTACGCTTTTGCGCTCGTTGAGCTCTTGCTCAACCACCACCAGCGCGACTCACGTGTCCAGGAACGTTTCGCTCGCTTTTATTGCCCAGGTTAACGCGAAATCGTTTTACTTCGTTCATCTCACGTATGCATCTCTAACGGAAGTGTAACAATTAGAAGATGTTCGAGAGCACGTGTGTCGTCACAACGAGAACCGCCCTCGAAAACCTGCCTTTCGTTTTCATTTCGAAACGACAATTATTTTCTGATACATTGTTTCGCAAGGAAAAAAAATAAATAGAATAATTTTACAAAAATTATTGGGCTCGTCACAAAAGCGTCATAAAGCGATGCGATATAAAGGACATAAAAGAACATTTGATGAATCAAATTTGACTTATTCCCTCGATTGATCTGGGCTGATTAGCCTCCTTTTTAACGGCTGAGGGAAAGAATAAGAGGGATTTCATTAAGCGATCTTCGCGTTGATAACTCCGCGGGATATCAACGGGATCTTATCCAATTGCTTGTATAAGGGGCGCCTTAAAACACCCCTGGGGCGCGCGCCTGCGAAATATCAGATTCCACCACCTGACTCGCGTGTGTCCACATCGTCGTCGTTCAGTCTTGCTTTCACTTCCCATTCGGGCGTATTTTTCATCTTTGCCCGAATAATCGGCCGCACGGTTACCTGCTTCTCCACTTGATTTTCGAGGCAACGATTGTCATTCAGTCCCCTTTCAAATACATCTTTACTCTTACTACTCTTTAGTACGTGCGAAGGATGTATTCATCATTGGAAAAGTATCAGGGATTCAACAGGTATCAGAAGTGGCGCAGTGAGTTTCGTCACGACCCCCTGAGTTTTAGCGAAAACTAAGCACGTGCTTTTCACGCTCGTATCGAACTCTGTTTTTAGGAATTCATTTTATTTTATTTTAATATAAAATATTAATATTACTATTAATACTATTAATATTAATATTAATATTATTTTTAATAAATAATATATCTTCTTAAATAAATGTAAATATATTTGCGCATGCAATTTCAGATTGAAATAACGGCGTTTCCTTCGAACGACGTCCTTCTCTGAGATCTTTCTCGAGACATGAAGAACACATGAAAATTAGCGAAACACACTTGCGTGGGAAAGTTTTGCGGTTCTTAGATCCGTTACATGAATGCCAAGGATGAGTCCTCTTCAGGTCTGGAAAGCTCAAATGAGGACAAGGACAAGAAAGAAAATATTAAGAACGAGAATGAAAATCTCGGAGAGGAGAAGGTGACAAAGATCGATGCGGCTGATTGTAATACTAAACTTCTTGAAGGTTTGAAATATTCAATTACTCAAGCGTGAGTAAGAGTGTATTATAGCTGCATGTTGTCGTTCGTTTCTTTTCTTTTCTTTAAAGAAGACCTAAACTGCCCGGAGAATAAAAACTGCCCGGAGGACAAAAACTGCCTGGAAAATAAAAACTGCCCGGAGTCATCTTTAGAACTGCCTTTAGAGCCAACTCTTCACGAAAGATTCGTGCGTATCAGGCAAACCGTGAAGGACGCAATAGCTGCCCATCATACTTTTATGATTTATGGCAAGTCACGGATCATTCGCGATTGCATGCTGAAGCGAGGATGGTGCGAGAAATTTTATCGCAGAAACAACGGCGGTAATAAATCACGTACAACTTCTAATATACCACCCTGTTCTTTTTTCAACGCGAAATGCAACGTTCTCCTATCTCGCAACTTTACATCCTCGAAGATAACGATGATTTCAGCCGATCAGTACTGCAGCGTCGATTCCAGTCCGGTGTTTCTACTGGCTGGTATCGGCGATCTGAAGGACCAGCAAAACGAACGTCTGCTGATATCGAAGATGCTCGCCAATCACACCGTCGACTTCCTGTGGAACACCGGGTCCGACTGGCCCGGATGGCCCGCTCAAGATAACAAAACTACTGTGTTCAATCGATACTGTCGTGCTGGCTTTACGTCCAAGGTATTGTCGCGCTTATAACTTTCACGGACGTCAATTTTCACGTGGAAATTATTCCTTTGAGCTACTAGCAAAAAATCAGAATAATCTCTCTCGGCGACTTGCCGAATCTGATCCAGGCCTCTGTAAAATTGCTCTTGCAAAGTCTAGAGATGTTTAGATAGCGATGTAGCATGGTCGTCGAGAATGCACGCTTTTTACGAGCGTGACGGCGAATCGTTAGGAGTAAAGCTCTGCATGTACTTCTTCGAAAATCAATTATACAGGTGGGCTTGTGTTCAAGCGTCAGGCAAATGCACTGGTATTACGAACCTGGAGTAGCTAATACTCTGTTTCCGCGCTGCTACAACATATGCCAGAGCGATCAAATGCACGCCTTCGTCGAGGACTTTCGGTGAGAATTTACGAATGACTTACAAGAAAAAAAAAGCTTTATACCGCACATCCGAAATCGCGGGAATATTTAATATACGTAATCGCTGATAATGAGGAAGCTGATATCTCGTTAGACTCACAGGCTGTCTGGGTCTCTTGAAGTGGTTGGTGGCCAAGGTCAATGCCGAGGACGAAGACGCTGTACGTTCGCCAACCGGCACAGTACCCCTCAAGGCCCTCGACTTCGCGATCAAGAGATGTAACGACTATATCAGCGCCCAGTCACACGAGGATATCGATCAGGAGGCTGAGAGAGTCTGGTCTCATCAGTGGGACCAATTTATCAGCTGGTACTACCAGATCGTTCGCGGTCAAGCTCTCTTTGTTCGTACCAACGTGTCCTTCAACGTGAGATATATCTGATAGCAAACTTTTAGCAAGCAGCTTTTCTCTTTTCATTTTATGTACTTCTTATCGCTTGAAAATAAATATATTGTACATATCAACAGAAATACGTTCTGGCCTCAAAGCACATATTAAAGAAGATGAGGAAATATTGGCCGCAGATAGACATGGACGGTATAATGAACGTGTGGATTCTGAAGCCCGGGAACAAAAGCCGGGGACGCGGTATCGTTCTGATGAATAAGCTGGAGGACGTGGTGGCAAAAGTAAATCCCACTGGCAAACCGGACACGCGATATGTCGTGCAGAAGTATATCGGTAATAAAAGTTTCGGAGCAATGATTAACCGAATCGGCTAGCTAGAGCATTAATCTTAGGTGTTCACTTTTAATTCGGCTCGGTTAAAAATAGTATGGTTATTTCTGCTAGAACGGCCGTTACTGATTCACAACACAAAATTCGATATAAGGCAATGGTTCATCGTGACGTGCGCCCAACCTTTAACCCTCTGGATGTACAGGTACGCAAATATATCAAGGATGTTTAGATAAGTCACGACATCTCGCAACATCGCTCACGCCAGAACAATTAGCGAGTACAATAGCAACTCGACTCGACGTAAGGAATAATGATAGTTTTGGAAGTAGGGTAATAATCAATTTGTGCCTCGCTGACATTAAAGCGTGCGATCCTGTACGCTGGTAGTCAGACTTCCGGCTATAAATATCTAGAAGTTACACAACACGTTGCCATCTGCATTTAATTATCGCTAATACAATAGCGGTTAAGACCGAAACGTTTTGTCAAGTTTATTACTTGTTTGTACAGAGAAAGCTATCTTCGTTTTTGCTCACAAAAATTCAATTTGGATGACTTCCACGAGTCGATTCACTTGTGCAATCACGCAATTCAATGCAAATACAATAACTGCGGCGACAGGGATCCTGCCCTACCCGCGGACAATATGTGGGACGCCACCACATTCAAAGAGTTTCTCAGGTACGACTTATGTCATGGATAAAAAAAAACAAAAAATCACTCATGCACTTTTCTAAAATTCTCATTGTTTTCTTCTTTAAATAAAACATATATGAAGAAAATATGATTCTCATAAAAATTTAGATCCCAAGGTCACAGTAATGCGTGGGACGATATGATCTATCCTGGAATGAAACAAGGCTTGGTGGGCTCGTTATTGGCTAACCAAGAAGCTATGGACCGACGTAAAAACAGTTTCGAACTATATGGCGCTGATTTTATGGTCATGGAGGATTTTTCCGTGTGGCTGATTGAGATCAACAGTCATCCGGATATGAGTTACTCCACCAGCGTTACCAAGCGATTGTGTCAACAAGTGATGGAGGACACTCTTAAAGGTAATTAACGATCTAATTCAGAAATTACTTTCTCTTAAATGATTACAGAATTATTAGAAAAATTGTTGGTGCAGTCGTGATCGACTTTCGAGAAGATAAAAATGCGGATACCGGAGATTTTGAGTTAGCGTATAGGCAGAGAATATCGAGCTGTCAACCATACTTGGGCACAGCTCTATCGCTCCAGGGTACTCGTATTGCCACCTGCGAGAAGAAATCGAGCTTGCATCAGGATTCCAAAATCAGTCTAGTCGCGAAGTCTCCAATGGTGAGTTAGATGATAAGAAATAATCTAGCATTGCGAAACAACTCGACATGTTTAATTTATTCGTTAGACGAAAAAGAAATCGGTAATACATAATATTGGGCCAGTGATCGTTGATCTCATCGAAAAACTGGAAATCCAATTAGATCAGGAATTGTATTCTTATTACAATCCGGACTCGCCCAAATCAAGACCGGCACTTCCAGCAACTGCACCGGTGAAGCCTTCGAAAACGTCGATTTCCGATGAGAAAACGGAAACTGTGACAAAGAGCATCTCAGCGAATACAACAACGTCTGTTAACAAGCCAAAATCATCAACTCCACCCAGAACTAATATCCAGGTAATTATAATCTAAAAGAAGCGTCGTCAACTTTGAAATTAATAACTATTCAATTTGCTGTTAAATATATTCTGTTGTGTTCTGTAGAATCACGCTAAACTTTCAAGTAACAGAAAGAAATCTCTGCATAAACCAGTACGAAAGTCACGCACGTTCACCGGTATTGCAAGCGATAAACTGGACGCGTCTCCGAAACAAACGTTGATTTCGAAGATTATGGCTCTTCAAGAGCAATCGGCGAACAAGACTCCAAAATCATCCGAGAAATCTTTGAGGAAAAATGAAGAAAAGGTTAACATATATTCATACAAAAATTTCTATTCATATAAATTATTTATATTAATTTCATATAAGTCATCAATTAGTATTCATATAAATTTCTTGTAATTAAATTAAATTAAATGCTTGTAAAGAAATTCCTTCCTTCTCTGATCTTCTTATCAGATCGTCAAGACTGCGATGCGAGACGCCGCGAAAAAGTACAAAAGAAATGTGACTAATCGGCCGGAAGCACCATCGTTGCCGTCCTTACTTACGCCAACAGTCAAAGTCGCCCCCGCGTCAACGAACAAAAGCAAGAATCGTGGCGTTCCGAATAAGCAAGCGCACCATAAAAAGAATAAAGTTCTAACAAATGTCGCCGATATGTACGCTATCGGTTTGAGCCTGACCAAATAATCGAACAGCCTGTCAGTCAGTCCCACTCGTTGCTTGTTATTTTCTCCTTTACTGTTGATCGATTTTTCTCCAATTCTATCTACAAGTGATATATGTATACAATAAATAAATGTTACAATTATACCGCTAGCAATTTCATTTCCCCCATTTTCTTCTATTAGAATGCAAAAAAATGAGAAAGAAAATTATCCACAACTACAACAATTCTGAAGCGTCAAGGTATGAAATTTAGAAGTTGGATTTTTTTCTGAAAATCTCGCTCGATAGAAAATAAAGGAAGCAATGAAAGAATAAAGGAATCGATAGAAAAATTTAACTGCAATATAAATAAAACGCAAGAATTTTTTTTTAATTGTATGAATTTAAAAATATGTGATATATCCATCGATCGCCATGACGTTTGTTGGCCGCGGCTAAGAATTCACGTCATAAAACATGAATGTAGGTCATCAAGTCACGATAATCGATAAGAGTAAAACGGAAGCAGTAAATTGTTGCTTTGTAGTAAACTGTCAAATCCAGAGACCAAATTTTGTATGTGTATGAAAGAGCATCCGGATGAAAAATTGAAAAGTGTGATTTTTCAAAACTAATCCTAATTTTGTAAAATGCATTACGACAGCGACAATTCGTTAGTTTGCACGGACAGTAAATCTAAATGGCAAATAACTTTGTCCTCAAAAAATTGCACGATCAGGAAACATTTCGAAGGTTGGCAGGTAGACAGGCATCGAAAGAATTCTATTTACGTTACAGATTTTCATTTACTTATTTTATTGTTAACAACAAACGTTTTATAGATCTGTCCAAAAAATGCAAGCAGCGGAGAAAAAGATTTGCGATTGATCTTAACAGTTCCAAAATTCGGGATTAATTCGCAGCGTGCGGCCGAGACAATCAAAACGATGGATGCTGAAATCTGTTGCAATCGTGAAGACCTCGAAGAATTATTGAGAACGAACGACAAGGAGAACGATCAGAAAGATGGAAACATAATATTGACGGATTATTTAAAATTAGTAACAAACGACGAGGCTAAAATAAATCTTCTATTGAAGATTTTGACGAAAGCCGTAAACGAGCATACGTGTTACGTGATCTGCGGCACATTTCCGACTTTGAGGGGACCGTTGGCGGACAGAGGATGGATTGAGAAAAGGACTATTAGAAAAATGATGTCAACCGTTTCCGATACGTACGAAGGTCGTAGTTTTTATTTCGATTTGATCACCGGTTAAAAAGATTCGAATATCGGCATCTTCTTTTACACAGAAGGCTTGCAACAATTGGAAAAATTGCTCCGAGTCTCTGCGGATTTTATATGGTATACTAATAAAAAACCTGTTATAAGAACGGACGATAAAACGATCGTGAATAAATTTGTCGGAAGCTATTTTACGTCCAAGGTAATTCAATTCATAAATGCGCGTCACGCGTAAGAAATATAACAATTTTCAATTAGCGAAATGTTTAGGTCGATATGTGTAACAACATGGAAAAAGCCTATTGGTTTTACGAAGCTGGTATATCGAACATACATTTTCCTCGATGTTACAATTTTGATCAAGTATGGATATATAGTTTATATGTATATGCGAATTATAATTATTTACATATTAATATACACGTTACATTAATGGACGCCGAGTTATTCCAATAGTCAGCACAAATGGAGGAATTCATACAGGATTATTACATCACTGCGTGTTTTGGGATTTTAAAATGGTTTTCGTTGCTCGCCAATTTGGTAGGACCGGAAAATACCTGGTCCCCGAATGGAACAATTCCCATTAATATGATTTCATTCGCTCTGGAACGCTGTGTAGAATATATAAGGTTGTAAAAAATATTGTAGCATTATAAAAGTAAATTATACAAATATCGTACAAAATTTCCAGCGTTCAAGTACACGAGGACATAGACCGTAAAGATTATGACACGCCTCTTTCCGCTTGGCATCAATTTTTGGATTGGTACCATGAAATAATATATGAGCGCGTTTTATTGAAAGAAACCGATAAAATTGACATAAATGTATGTATGAACGCCATAATTTTCCGCCATATATATATATATATATATATATATATATATATTGTGGCGTATGTATAAATTCTGGAAGTAAAAAAAATGATTAAGGAAGTCCGAAATTCGCAGGAGCTTGTAAGATCTGTGCACGATATAATGAAAGAAATGATAAAATATCGATCACAAAGTAAAATCGATGGTATAAGAAATATATGGATTTTAAAACCGGGCGACGATAGTTTAGGACGCGGAATTGTTTTGAAAAGTTCTTTGGTTGAGATCCTCGCCAAGGTAAATCAAGCAGCAAAAGAAAATACTAAATACGTTGTGCAGAAATATATAGGTATACATCAATTTGTTTAATGCAAGAGTAAAACATTTTAAACATTATTTATTATTAATCATACTCGTGTCATACAATTTACAATTTACAGAACGACCCCTGCTTGTTCACAAGACAAAAATAGATATCAGACAATGGTTCCTGATAACCAGTACACAACCTCTCGTGGTGTGGATGTACAAGTATGTGTATTTTTTATTAACTTTTATTTATGCTTCAAAGCTCGCAAATAATTAAAGTTATTTAAATATTAGAGATATATTAATACGATTCGCTTCGAAAGACTTCACCCTCGGTGATTTTCACGAGTCCATTCATCTGTGCAACACGACAGTACAGCTGAAATATCGGAACTTACCGAGATGCAATTCTAACTTACCTGAGCAACGTCACTGGAATCTTCAAAATTTCAAAGATTATCTTCAGTACTTATTTTACTTTTGTTCTTTTATGAGAAACTAAAAGCAACTCAGCTCTATCAACTACTTGTCCATTTAGATCGTGCGGTCAAGAATTGGCTTGGGAAAAAGTCATTAGGCCGGGAATAAAGCAAAATCTGATAGGCGCGCTTTTGGCGTCACAAGATAATATGGTAAATCGTAAGAATAGTTTCCAATTATATGGCGCTGATTTTGTGGTGGCTGATGATTTTTCGGTGTGGTTATTGGAAATAAATACAAATCCACGATTACATCCACCAAGCAGCGATGTCACCGCGCAACTCTATCCGGAGATAATTGAAGACACGCTGAAAGGTATGTTAATTTAAAAAAATGAAAAAAATATATTATTTAAAAAGTTTCATAATTGTCATGTATTATAATCCATAGTGGTCTTAGATCGTCGTAAAAATAAAAAAGGATCTTCTGGAAAATTCGAATGTATTTACAAGCAACGCAATCCGTTTTGCGGCGTCAATATTTTGGGACAAGGCACGAGTCTCGGCATTCGTGGCAAGGGTTTATTCATGACGCCGAAATCACCGCAAGATCTCTGACGTAACGCAACTATATAAACATTGCCGAAATTCACTTCTTCGATTGCCTATTTCGCAAAGAATTGTTTCCAATTTCAATCATAATCCATTCCGTAACGCGAGCAATTTCGTATTAACATATAAACAATGTGTCACAAACTGCTAGCTACATGTCGAAAAATATCTATGTCCTTTTTACTTTTCGCATGGCGCATTTGATAAGTGGAGAAATAACTGGAAAACAGTAATTTATTAAAAACATGTTTATGTTACAAGTAACAATGTTGTAGGTATACAATCCTATATAGACAAGCGTTCTTCTCTTTTTACGGAACAATGCGTACATATTATTACGATTAACGGAGATAGGGCTATATCACGTTCCACATCCATTCATTATTCACGTACAAAATTATTTTAGTTTTATAATTTTTTTTCAAGTCGTTATAATATTCTTTCAATTTGATTTTTTATTGTAAAATGTATCATTTCATTTTATCATTTCAGAATAAATATATTTCGCGTCAGATTCAAATAATGTAGATTAATTAGATAAAGTTAGTCATATAACAATTGTAAAATAATTATCTAGAATAATTCCAAGAAAATCATTTTCAAAATTGCATCATCATATTTCAGAGCTGTTGATAAAATAGATAATTGTTAAAGGAGAAATAAGATAATTAATGTGTCTTCCGTAATAAATTATAATCATTAATGCTACCGGCATTAATAATTAATTTACTATTATTGCGACATGATCAAATGTTATATGCACTTTATCTCACTGAAATAAAATTGTTACGATTTTTGTGTATAGAGAGAAATAACAGAGGACTTACGATACAAATAGCATATGTATAAATCATGGAACTTCTAATTGAGTTAGAATATACTTACATCAGATAGAACGAATCGGTTATTTCAAAAGTTGTCTCTCTATGATGTATAAATTTGAAAGTTTTTAATAAATTAAAAATATCAGTGTCATTACATCTTTGCATATTAAAAAATTATGTTCGCTCATATTGATGTTAGTATAATCTCACGTAACATGAAATCCCATCTGTATCTATGTTGAAACCTGACAAGACGAAATCCGATTATTTAATTCTGATGTGTTCTATCGTCATCGCAATCAAATAAAGTATTCAATCTTGTTTGATTTCAACAATCGCTTTGAATACATTAGGGTGAGCTTTGTATCTTATGTTACTGCACTTATCTATGTACCCACGTAGGTACAGTCTATAACTGTTCTCGCGATCAAGTATGAAAGCTGACAAGATTTCGTGTACATATCACATGTAAAACTGCATAAAACAATATTATAAACTTACGTAACCGATTTTAGCGAAAAGGATAACTTAGGCCTTGAATTATTTTTGCCTAAGATCCTTTTTTGCTCCTCCTTGACGCGCTTTTCATGTTCCTTCCTCATTTTTTGTCTTTCCTCTTCCATTAATCGCTGCTCTTCAACCATGGCCAATCTTTCTTCAGCCTGAGGTTAAATATGCATTAATATTGCATAGTAACACCTCATTTTCAAATAAATCGCCCACTTACCAGTTTCTTCTGAGCTTCCTCTATCTTTCTGTTGTTCTCTTCCATAATCCTCTCTAGTTCCTCACGCTTCTTCCGCTCTTCCTCCTACAATGACAATAAGATAGGTTTACACAAAGCAATGATGTTGTCGATCACCATCTGTTGTCACATCTTTCGAAATCATAGTGCTGCTATGTCAACAGCCTAGTGTTATACATCCTAAATACCTTTATGGAAAGTTTGGGATACATGAAATTTTAAGATCTCGAAAAAAAAAAGGATGGCTTATCGAGAGAGATAATCACAGAGAGAAAAAGAGTGAGTGACATAGGACATGTGTTTAAACATAGTTCCTTCTTTTGTGTCAAATGTGTTCCTCTTAGATCCAGCATATGCTGTTCTTTCTCAGACTGCCCAAATAAAAACACGACGATTTAAGATGATCATTTAAATGCGAGAGAAAATTAATTTCTTATAACTTTACACAAATCAGTATGCATGCAAGAATATATAGAAATTATTATTTTCTCTCTCATAAACGCGATATCGTAATGTTTTGGTGAGTGTTTGTAATACAAATTAGGTGTTAAATGTGTATGTGTATGTGTGTAATGTTATTTATAATATTGTATTTGTAGGCAAGATTTTTAAATGAGGTCTGTATATAATAATTCAGAAATTAATACCCTAAGGTACATTTATATGAATGGTTGTTGCCATCCGCCCGACCTGTTGATGGAAATTCGTTGTGTCCCATGGTAATAAAGTTTAGCGAATCTAAAATGAGCCCTACCATATGGTCTCTCCGATACAAAATGTTGAAACAAAGAACGATAAAAATATCGGTATAAAATGAATTATGAATATATAAATTGGATAATACCTGAATGAAGCTCACACGCCACCATGTAGGGGATGCCTTCTTCATCGAGAATCATTCAGCAGTGAGTAAAAAACCGGCATCTTCTGTTGGTAGGCAGTAAGGAAGGTGACCTATATATCGCTAGGTCGCTATGGGATTCTAATTTCTGCCCCCTTAAGTTCTCTACTTCTCCCTTTCAAATAAACTTCTTCCCAAACTTGTAGAGATATATATATATATTTGGTGCAAACTCAATGTGCAAAGTAATGAGAGTAAAATTTCTAATAAATTTGTAATCAGGATTGTTGTTCGGTTGATGAGCGAGTTGATTATTTAAAGGTGAAAGTAAATAAATGTACACAGAGACATAAAAAAATGTGGTAACAAATAAAATCAACATATGGAATTAAAAAAAAAAAGCGATTTTTTAGCGATAATAAATCGGTTAAATCTATATGCGCAAATTAAATAATAGGATTCCTTACTAAAATTTAGTATTTGTAATTAATCGCTAGACAAAATCAAAAAATTAAAGAATAGAATTATAAAAATAATTATGTCGTTAATTCTCTTGAATTCAAAGGAAAATACTTATATTCAGTTTATATAGAAATATATTCAAAATATATTTTCGCAAGCAAGATATAATAAATTTATATTTAAGAAAACGATATTTTCACATATTTCTGTATATCTTTCTATATACATCAGTAATGAATATAATTAAATCAAGAATGCTTCTAAATTTATAGTGGATTGTAAATTATTCTTATTTATAATGTTTAACATATATGTCAGTAATGTAATATTGTCGCTGTTTCAAAATTAACGTAACAACTGCTCAGGGAAGAATATATATATATATATATATTACTTTCCTATGGTTTCTCATATAAGAATAACTTTATTTCAGACTTTATTTTCAGACAAAAAACTTGTTTCATTCGATGAATTACAAAGTTTGGGATTGTTACTTTTTCTAATCAATGATATTTTTTCTTTTCTACTGTCTTAAAGACTGTAAGATGTGACAATGTGGACAGTCACGTACGCGAATATGTTTTTATAAATTAGCTCGAGTAAGTATATAAGAAGCCTGATACAAGTAGATCCGCCAACATGCGCAATAATTTTAGAAACTGCGAATAAAAACTGCCGATCCAAATGAATCAGAGCAGTTTAAGCACAGTTTCTAGAATTGTTGACACGAACGTCAATTCAGATACCATGTGATGAAAAAGATTATAATGTTGTACAGAGATATATAAATATATATATATACATGGTACAAACAATTTGATCATAAATAATCGATACATGCGCTTGTGTAGCACAGCATCCTTTCCATAATATATAGAATATAGCTTCTCAACAACGCGACCTCGGTGGATGTTGAGAAGTCGAAGCAGTGTGGTTTCCCCATTTTTAAATTTCTTATGATACAATCGCGAACCACAATGCTTCTAGCCCAAACGCTGTGATCGTAAACTAAGATAAAATCGGTTCATCATATCGGTCAATCATATTTATTGCTACAGGTAGTACAATTTGCCAATCCTATAGTTACAAGACATTAAGATTGAAAGATTTACAAATTGTACTTGGTCCAGCCTAACAACATTACATTAACATTTCGATATATTTTGAATAATTTTTTTAATTAGTTACAAACTTGACATTATGTAAACATAATACAAGTCTTCAAAATTTATATATTAATAATATATTTATATTATTAATATATATATTAATAATATAAACAATATCGACTAAGATTACTTTTTTGCAATAATACGTTCAATCGCTAATGAAATACTAAATTTGTCTCCTACTGATCGTAACAGCGCTTGGGCTATCACTGACCAATATTTCTATGGATAGATCTTACCTCTCTTCGTTTCTCCTCCTCACGTAGTTTCGCTTGTCTCCATTCCATCTCCTCCATCATTTGACGCTCCATAGCCCTCTTCGCTTCTTCCACCCGCCTTTGCACTTCTGCTTCAATTTCCTCCTTACGTTTCTCAAGTTCTTCTTCTACTCTCTTTTGTACAAGTTCTTCTATACGTTTAGCTGCCTCCTCTTCCACCATCTTCTGTTCCACTTCGCGTTGACGTCTGGAGACAGATAAACAGCAATCTTCTTCCAGAGCACCATTTCAGAAATCATTTTAATCATGTATAAAAATAAAGTTAATAGCATGCCAAGGCTCGATTAGATTTTAAAAAGTTGTAAGAATTTATCAATAATTATTTGAACCAAATTAAAATTTATTGAATATAACAGCAATAAGAAAAATGTTATACAAAAAATCTTGGTACTTGCATACGACACAAACATGTTTCTTGTTTTTTTTTTTTTTTTTTTTTTGCAAAAACATGTTATA